AAAGCTGCAAAAGAAATTCGGTGAATTTTGCCCTGACCGGTCGGCTGTCCGAATGTCATGCTAGTCTACTATCCTTTGTCAGTTTCGGCCTCTTGTGTTCTACTGCTCTGCTGCTGCTCGGGTGCACTAGTTTGATACCTTTTTTAGCCTCATTTTGAACTTGAGAATGGCATGATTAGGATATAAACATGGATGGAGATATGATGGAATCATTTATAAGTATTCAATCTATTTTTATTCTTTGAAATAAATCAAAACATAATTAAAACAAAGTATAAAGCAATCATCAAATACAATATGTCCAACAAGCTCTACCACAACAATAACAATAATAATCTAACAACTAAAAAAATTAGAAATGCGGAAGGGGGGAGAGAGAGAGAGAGAGAGAGAGAGAGAGAGAGAGAGATCTTTCTGTAATCTCCTCATTGGTATAGTGATAACCGGTTACTCTCCCGTGGACGTAGGCATTGGGCCGAACCACGTAAAATATTGTGTCTCCTTGTGTGTGGGTGTATTTTTCTGCTTGCAATGATTTCTATAAGGTCTTGGGCGGGATCCCAGATCCCAACACAACATCGCCACCGCCAATAACAAAAACTCCCAGATTATCAACTATATGTTAAAAATAATACGTTTGTGTCAAAAAAAAGTTTTTTTTTTTTTTTTTTATCTATAGCAATCATCAACAAAAACAACAATTAATAAAATATTAGTAGATAACTCCATTACAACTATGTACCAGAGAGAATTTGGATCCAAGCATCAAACACATCTCTAGATCGTCATCTTTAGTAAGCTATCTGCAAATTAAGATGAAGATATTGTAAACTTTGTAAACTCAATGTTTTCTCTCTCTTTACTCTATAAATTTACACACAAGTCTATGGCTCAAGATTAGGAGCCAGTGGTCCTCCACAAGTCCAAGCCTAAGGCACACAAGAGAGTTCAGATCCGACGCCTGTGAGAATGATCACGACTACGGTAACACAGATCAGGCTAATCTGACGCTTGTGAGACTCCAGAGATCAAATTTAGTAACAATGTTGTTGCAGCAAAGAATGCTACAACAGATCTAACTCTGTTTAGAGCAACGGCGCTAGTAAGAGTGGCTGAGGAATCGAGAGTGGATGTGACCACGCCGCGAGATTTGAGTTATCATCATCATACATACTAGCTTCACCGTCGGGGAGTTGTGAAGGATGAGAGAGGATAAAACCTCGATTCCTTAGCACTGGTTGTGGAAGTTGAGGTTTGGTGGTCTCCACCGGCAGTGGTTGTGGTGGAGGATGAAACCTTAACTGGAAAAGGAAGAGGAGAAAGTGGACAGCAGAGAGGAGAGAGAGAGAGTGTGTGTTGGGTTGGGTTTGGTTTGGTTTGGGTTTAGTAGCATGTGTATAGGGGGTAATTTGGTCATTTTATGAGTGCTTGTCCTTTTAGCCAAAATATTATAGTGCCCGAACCTTTAGACAAACAAAATCCAAAAATGAATTTATCACCCAAGCACCCATAATAAAACTCTAAAGTTTCTTTTGTAAATTTTCCTAAAAATTAAACATTTTTTTTTAATTTTTTTATTCAAAAGAAGTAGAACAAAGCAGGAAAGAAACAACAAAATAAAACTAGGGACACTAAGTCCTTACACAAGATGCACCCACCATGTCTGCTATCAATAGACTTACAATGGCACTTTGAGGGTCATCAGTCACAACCAAATTGTTTTGGCAGTTAGCTCCTAAATTTGCTAGTCCATTTGCACATTTGTTTGCCTCTTTACGTGTGATGGAGGAATTGCACATTTGCATGATGTGTCTTCAAGAAGAGCTCTCTGTGCAAAGTTAGGAGGAGTGTCCCCTTTGATGAACAACACCACTTGCTCAGAATCTGTTTCTATGGTAATGTCTGCCATGACCTTCTCTAGGATAATGGTGAGACCTTTATAAACTCCCCATAATTCAATTACCTCACTGGTTGCATTTTTCAGCTTTCCATGATAACCATGCAACCAAGTCCCTCTCTCATCTTTGGATAAAGCTCCATATCCCATTGTTCATGACTTCCTTTAAAGCATCCATCCATATTAAGCTTAATTTTACGTGCATGAGGAAAACACCAATTAGTAACTTGATTTATTTTCCTCCCCGCGAATGATCAGTCAGAAAAGCTTCCTAAATTTCAATGGCTTGCAAGTGTATAAATCTGGTAGCCTCTTTTGTATTATAATCTTCTTGGCGAAAAACCATATTATTCCTGTGTTTCCAAATTTCCCAAAGGGTTAGGATAAAAACAGTTCCTGATGGTATATTCCGAATTTCAGAGCTCTTACTCTTCAAATTTGATAGCAGCCATTGATCAAAAGGAATGTTCAAACTTATATTCAGCCATATATGATCCCTGATGTTTCTCCAAACTTCTGTAGCTTTGGCACACTCTCTGAATGGTGATTTAGATCTCTATAAAGATTACATCTTGGACAAATGTCACAAGATGAAAGCCCTCTGATTCTTCTAAAGTTGTTAGTGATAAGCCGCTCATTAAGAAGAAGCCAAATAAAGCCATTTATCTTCTAAGAGATTTTGAGTTTCCAAATCCAACTCCAATTAACAGTTTGAATCTCTTGCTCTTGAGTTGTAAGAAGGTCATAAGCTATCCCCATAGAAAAACCTCCACTAGAGAAGCCTTTCTAGTGAGGATTATTTGAAAGTGACACATGCTAGGGAAGGTGGACCTGGAGGATTTGTGGTATAGCTTGTAGAGAGATAATGACTTCTACACTTTCCAGATTCCACCTACCATCCTCATCTATCATGTCTTCCACTGATACCTCTTCTTTAGTATGAGGTCCTGGAAACCTGGTTGCAAGGGTGCATTCTCCACACCACCAATCATTCCAAAAAGAGATGTGCTTTCCATCACCAATTCTCCACTTCTGGCCTTTACTGAGAATATCTCTAGTTTTCATAATGCTTTTCCAAGTTTGAGAGGCTTTTTTATGGGTGGGCCAGCTAGAAAAAGTGTTTCTGTTTAAATACTTCCCTCTAAGAATTTTGCACAAAGTTAGATTTTTATCACAATTGATCTTCCGACCCAGCTTAGTTAAGAGGGCCAGGTTTTGATTTTCAGCTTTCCTTTACCCCAGCCCACTTTCTTTTTTACTTCGGCATACCTGATTCCAATTCACCGAATGAATGGATCTCTTGTTCTTTTGTTCACCCCACAAGAAGCTTCTATGTATCTTGTCAATATTCCCACACACACTTTGAGGTAATTTTGAAGTTTGCATAAGGTAAGAGGGGATAGATGAAGATACTGACTAGATTACAGTAGCTCTCCCAACAAGTGATAAAGTTCTGGCTTTCCAAGCAATTTTTTTTTTAAACTATATCCACAACATTACTATAAAGGTTTCTACTAACCCGATTGTGAATAAGAGGCACTCCAAGATATTTGCCTAGGTCTTGAGTCAATGAAATACCACAAAATAGACTAAGGGCAGAGGCTTTATTCTTGTCCACATTAGGGGAAATGAACATTTTGGATTTAAGGAGATTAATTTTTGGCCTGAGATAGCATAGAATTCTTCCATGGTTTCCATAAGAGTTTCACAATTCTCTTGATCATCTTTGGAAAGCAGAAGTAGATCATCTGCACACACACACACACACACACACACACACACACACAAAAACAAATGGGCTGTTCCTAGAGGCTTTGATTTCTTTCCATTCTTTGTTCTCAACTTTATCTTTATTCATATTTGAGAGCCTTTCCATATATAAAACAAACAAACAAGGTGAAAAATGATCTCCCTGTCTGAGACCTCTTCCAGGAGAGAAATCTTGCATAGGTTCCCCATTCCACAAAATAGAGAAATTAACATTAGAAACATAGCTCATGATGAGATCCACCCAATGGGTGTTAAGATTGAATTCAGTCAAGCTTTCTCTGATAAAGTTCCCAGAAATTCTACCATATGCTTTTTCCAAATCAAGCTTAATGATTAAACCCCCATTTTTATGCTTCTATTACACAATGTATGGATTAATTCTTAGGTGATAATGATGTTGTCATGAGTAGAGTGACCAGGGATGAATCTACTTTGGTTAGGGATGATCAAGTTATCTAGAAGGGGTCATAAACGATTCACAAGAATTTTGGGGAGGATTTTGTAGGGAACATTACAGAAGCTTATAGGGTGAAATAGCTTTATATTTTCAAGGTTATCAATTTTAGGTATAAGAGCAATAAGGGTTTTGTTAATCTCTAAGGGAATGGATTTCTCATGGTAGCAATGCCAAATAAAATGACACACATTATCCCCAATGACATTCCAGAACTCGTGATAAAATATAGCCTGAAAACCATCTCTGCCAGGAGCTTTGAAGGTACCAATTTTTTTCACTGCCTCCAGAATTTTAGCATGAGTTATATTTCTTTGAAGCACATTATTATCATCAATAGAAATTTTATGGTGTGCAAGATTACATCAATGATCAAGAACCTCAGTAGCATTAGCTTTAAACAAGGTTATAAAATAGTTTTGAATATGCTCATTCACAATATTAGGGTCATGCAGCCAGACTCCTTGCTCATTTTTCAAAGAGTCAATTTTTAATTTTCTTTTTCTAGTAATAGTAGAAACATGGAAAACATTTGTGTTTCTTTCACCTTGAGTGATCCAATTTGCCCTAGATTTTTCAAACCACAAAAGTTCCTCTTGAAAAAGAGTTTTATTAAATTGTGAAACCAAATCTTTTTCAAGAAAGAAAAAACTATGGGAAAAATAATTTTATTAAGCTTTTTGGATTCCCTCAATGCGAGCAAGGAGCCACTGTTTCCTTTTAAAGATTTTACCAAAGACTTTCTTGTTCCAAACAAGGGAGTTTTCGGCAACAAGATTGAGATTGGAGTTCAAAGAACTGGCAGTGTTCCAAGAAGCATTCACAATATCAACATAAGTAGGGTGTGATAGCCAAGCGGCCTCAAAATGAAAAGGGCAGTTAAAAAGGAAGTTTGGATATACCTTCAACATAGACAATGAAAGTCGAATGATAAGAGTAGGTACGAGGGAGGTTTCGAATTACACCTTCAGAGAAGGCAGTTCTCCATTCTACATTGCAAAGAGCTCTGTCCAACCTTTCCATGGTGTTTGTCATACCTCTTCTATTGTTTGACCAGGTGAATTTAGGGCCAGTACATCCCAAATCCATGAGGCCACAATTGTTTATGCTCTCCTGGAACCTTCGATACCTGCCTTGTTGGTTGTTATGGCTGAAGCTTCTCCTTTCATCTTGGCCGCCTACATCGTTGAAATCCCCTGCAACTAGCCAAGGGGATCTCATGGCTACTGCTGTGTCGTCTAAATCTTTCCAGAGCTTGTGACGAAGACTGATGTTAGGGCTAGCGTATACAGCAGACAAGATCCACTCCTCAAAATTTTCTCTTTTGATTGTTGCCTGAATAACCTGAGAAGTTGCAACATATGCATTGACTGAGACTTGAGTAGGATTCCATATGAGCCAAATACCTCCTACCCTTCCAACTGGGTCAACAACTGTAGAAGCAGTGAAGCCTAGATTGTTGAAAAATAAACCCATAGAACTGAAAGGAACCTTTGTTTCGAATAAAGCGACCACATCAGGCCGATGAACTCTGATGAGTTCCCTGAAATTTCTTTTGAAAACTTTATTGCCGGCCCCCCGACAGTTCCAAAGCATGACATCCATAGATGAACGATTGGGGAAAACAGGTAACTGTTCCAAACTGCTTAGACCAGTTATATCACGAACTTTCTTTTGATTTAACACAAATGAGCTCAGAGCTGCCATCTGTGTTGCTTGCACTGGTCTTCCTCCCGCACACTGCCATTTGGCCTCGATGTTCAGTCTTATCTCTTCGATCCACCATTCGATACCTACTAGATGAATGGCTTCGCTCTCGGGTTCTAGGTACGAGCCCACTGCACTGTGAGTCATTCTTGTTAGTTGCACCTCTGGTAACACCATGTCATCGATACGTTCAGAAGTTCAACGGTCAGACGCCAGGAAAGGCCCGTGTGGCCAATTTCGAAACAGCCCTCGAGCAGGAGGCACCAAAGCCGAATCAGAAGGAGTAGATCTCGTCGGAAGAAGCTCGTGGAGCAACCGTGATGGATTCTTCTGCAAATCAGTGCAACAGCCGTTCTCCTAGACACAGAGAGGCTTCAATTTCAAAATAACCATTTGGCATGGACTTGCTACACTTTTACCCTTTGAGAGGCTCGCTGGGCCGAAAACCCGGAAGGGCGACCCAGGCAAAAGTTAGAGCAAGAGAAAAATACAAAAAAGAGTCAAAAGATACAAAAAAAGAAGAAAAAAAAAAAGAAGAAAAGAAAAAAAAGAAATGAAAAAAAGAAATAGAAAATGAAAAGAAGCTCGCAAGGTCGAAAACCCGCATTGGGCGCCTTGGCAAAAGTGAGAGCCAAACAAAGTGAAGGTTAAAATACTGGAGTGTACCTTAACCGGAACTACGTAAGGCTTGATTCCCATGTTTGGGATACGTAGGCAACTTCATCATGAAGTCCAGCCCCCAACGCTTTCATAAGCGTCTCAGTCCATGCAATGGTTTCGATTTCATCCCCAAAGTCCAGTGGCCAACACCCTTCAAGGTGATTGTGTCCATATATGTGTTGTGACCGTCTTCGTCATCTCTGTGTCTAAGAACTCGACCACCGCCGATGAAGACTGTCTGCGGATTGCTGCGGCACCATCCCAAACAAGGGGCAGCTTTCCATTGCCGCGAGCCGCCGTGAGCCGCCATTCAAACTAGGGGCAACTTTCCGTTGCCTCCCACCCCCCTTCAAACCAGGGGCAATTTTCCATTGCCTCCGATCCGAGGTTGCGCATCTCGAAGGGTAAGTTCCATGCTTGTTGAGCATCAGAAGCCCGCGACTGAAGCGCCCGTA